CTTTTCAATCCATGCAACCTAAAAGCCTCTTATCAACCGGAGATCGTGTAAGAAAATTATCGCAGTATAATGAGAATGGAATCATATGTGGAGGTAGATTGTGGTTACTGATCAAACCATGACAGATTAACCAGACTGTGATAGAGATGTGTGGGGCAGCAGTCTGGTTGACGACAAGCCTGGCCTATGGCCAGGCTCCGAGAGCGGTAAGACTCTCGAAACTCATCAAAGGTATATCAGAGGTATGGACCATTCTGGGCTATGGTAGTAGTAGTAGTAGTAGTAGTAGTAATTTTTTCTACACAGCCAGACTACCAGAGTAATGGTTTTCTTTCCGAAAATTGTTGACTAGTTTGGAGCCCGTCAAATTTACATTGAGAAAGAAAATTGGAAAGCACTGGATGAGTGGAACAAATCGCGAGTTACTTTGGGTAACTTGAAGTTAGTTATACGAGTAAGTACCTGAAGTGTGGAGCATGAGAGAGAGCATCACCCGCCTAACTGATCTGCACAGATACTGACACAACACACTACAGATAACAGGACACAAGGATGCCTTTATTGGATACGTTTTGGTCCAGGGACCTCCTGGAGGTTATTCCGGGGATCAACGCCCCCGCGGCCCGGTCCACGACCAGGCCTCCGGTCACTCCTAATGAAAATATTGCATAAAAATGCGAAGCAGAATACAGGTGGACTTCAGGTAGGTAGGCCTGTTAACGGTTACCTGGATACCTGGAGGTTATTCCGGGGATCAACGCCCCCGCGGCCCGGTCCATGACCAGGCCTCCCGATGGATCAGGGCCTGATCAACTAGGCTGTTACTGCTGGCCGCACGCAGTCCAACGTACGGTGTAGTTACGTTCTTAAGGCGGGCCAGCCAGGAATAGTTTTGATGTGATGTCTACTACGGATAATGGTTCAGAGAACCAACACGTTGGTAAATTAGACACATATGCAACACTTGGGTATCTTTATCGAGGAAACGTTTCGCCTATATAAAGAATCCAGGTAATCCAGGTAATCCAGGAAGACCAGTCTATATAATCAGTCCATCAATCAAGACTGATGGACTGATTATATGGACTCCAGGCTGAGGGACTGATTATCTCAAACTCCTTCTGATCTTCACCATTCTTCTTCGTATAGGACTGATGAAGCTACTGTGTGGCGAAACGTTTCATCGATAAAGATACTCAAGTGTTGCATATGGGTGTAATTTACCAAGGTCTTAATTACTACTTGTAATGATGGGGCTTCGCTTTTACTGGTCACTCGAGGTCAAGTTCCAGTCACCAGATCTTCAGGTCACTCCACCCGGGAAAGACTCCTTCTCTTCCCCCGTACAACAGTTAACAATCTTTTCATCACATTATACTGACGTACATTACCTTACGAGTGAACCCCATCCTGTTAAACTGACGTACATTACCTTACGAGTGAACCCCATCCTGTTAAAACGCCCGTACATTACCTTAGAGAACCCCATCCTGTTAAACTGACGTACATTACCTTACGAGTGAACCCCATCCTGTTAAACTGACGTACATTACCTTACGAGTGAACCCCATCCTGTTAAACTGACGTACATTACCTTACGAGTGAACCCCATCCTGTAACTGACGTACATTACCTTACGATGGAACCCCATCCTGTAAACTGACGTACATTACCTTACGAGTGAACCCCATCCTGTTAAACTGACGTACATTACCTTACGAGTGAACCCCATCCTGTTAAACTGACGTACATTACCTACGAGTGAACCCCATCTGTATAATAAACTGACGTAACATTACCTTACGATGAACCCCATCCTGTTAAACTGACATACATTACCTTACGAGTGAACCCCATCCTGTTAAACTGACGTACATTACCTTACGAGTGAACCCCATCCTGTTAAACTGACGTACATTACCTTACGAGTGAACCCCATCCTGTTAAACTGACGTACATTACCTTACGAGTGAACCCCATCCTGTTAAACTGACGTACATTACCTTACGAGTGAACCCCATCCTGTTACGGTATACGTCAGGGAACCTTTGATATACCTTTGATGAGTTTCGAGACTTCTACTTCCAGAGCCCGGCACTGGTACTTCTCTGGTCAACCAGGCTGTTGCTGTTGGCGGCCCTTTGGCCCACATTTCCACCACAGCCTGGGTGATTTGCCATTTGGTGAAAACACTTGTCCAGCTTTCCCATGAAGACTTCTACACTTGTCCCAGCAGGGTTTCCGATGTATTCTGGTCAGATGTTGAATAGTCCGGGAATAGGATTGTTGATACAGTGTTCTCCTATTGTGCCCACGGCGCCACTACTTTTCACTGGGTTTATTTCTACACCTCCATATCCCTCATTCATTGGAGTCATCCCATGTGGGATGACTCCAATGTCTAGACGATATCCAGATACACTGAGAGTAGAAGTCTTCAAGAGAAAACAGGACAAGTATCCTCACCATGTGTCAGATCAACCAGGCTGTAGGGCAGCTGGCCTCCAGCAGCAACAGCTTGGTTGACCAGGCTAGCACCAGACGAGCCTGGCCCATGGCCGGACTCCGAGAGTAGAAGAACTCTCGGAACTCATCAAAGGTATATCAGAGGTAACGGGGGTGGGGTTGGAGATGCACTCAACGAGAGTGAGGTTGGCAGGGATGCACTCAACGAGAGTGAGGTTGGCAGGGATGCGCTCAACGAGAGAGGTTGGCAGGGATGCACTCAACGAGAGTGAGGTTGGCAGGGATGCGCTCAACGAGAGTGAGGTTGGCAGGGATGCACTCAACGAGAGTGAGGTTGGCAGGGATGCACTCAACGAGAGTGAGGTTGGCAGGGATGCACTCAACGAGAGTGAGGTTGGCAGGGATGCACTCAACGAGAGAGAGGTTGGAGGATGCACTAACGAGAGTGAGGTTGCAGGGATGCCTCAACGAGAGTGAGGTTGGCAGGGATGCACTCAACGAGAGTGAGGTTGGCAGGATGCACTCAACGAGAGTGAGGTTGGCAGGATGCACTCAACGAGAGTGAGGTTGGCAGGGATGCACTCAACGAGAGTGAGGTTGGCAGGGATGCGCTCAACGAGAGTGGGGTTGGCAGGGATGCACTCAACGAGAGTGAGGTTGGCAGGGATGCGCTCAACGAGAGTGGGGTTGGCAGGGATGCACTCAACGCAGGCGAAACTCAGTCAGTGCAGCCTTTGCTTGAGAGGCAACTAAAGAATCACTGTAGGAGTGCCTCTTGTGCAGTTACTGGTCCCTGACTGTGGAGTAAACTCTGGCATCCTCCTTCGACTCCCCACCACCATAATAACTATAGTGAATTATTAGGGGCGAAATAAAGCCTCTTGGGGGGGGGGAGGTGAAAGGACAATTCTCACGATGGGGAAGAGGGGGGGGGGCCGCCAAGAGGACATATGGTTCATAACACCCTGTTAAACCGCCCTAAAATGGGTCGTATCGATGGTCCGGTCCTGTCTAGCACTTCTGTAGCCGCGGTCTCCGAATTCTTTTAATTTCTCTTGTCACTGGGTTGGTATTGTGTGCTGGTGGTTGTTGTTGAGCCGGCTATTGTTCCATAGCAGCACCACCACCACCAGCATCACCGCCAGCAACACCACTGCCAGCACCAACACCAGCATCACCGCAACCAGCACCACCAGCACCACTACCAGCAGCAGCACCAGCAGCATCACCGCAGCCAGTACCGCAACCAGCACCACCACCACCACCACCACTACCACCACCACATAAAGCTAATTTGAGACCTTTCTGATAGGATTACGAGGAGTGGCGAACAAAGATTTATTATTATTATTATTATTATTATTATTATTATTATTATTATTATTATTATTATTATTATTATTGGGAAGGTTCGTAATCATACAACACTTGGGGAACGAGAGGTAGAGTGTACGATGGTAGTGACCGTAGTGAGTGACGTGTGATGGTAGTGACCGTAGTGAGTGACGTGTGATGGTAGTGAGTGACGTGATGGTAGTGAGTGAGGTGTGATAGTGAGTGACGTGTGATGGTAGTGACCGTAGTGAGTGACGTGTGATGGTAGTGACCGTAGTGAGTGACGTGTGATGGTAGTGAGTGACGTGTGATGGTAGTGAGTGAGGTGTGATGGTAGTGACGTAGTATGGAGTAGTGACGTGTGATGGTAGTGAGTGACGTGATGGTAGTGAGTGAGGTGTGATGGTAGTGAGTGACGTGTGATGGTAGTGAGTGACGTGTGATGGTAGTGAGTGACGTGTGATGGTAGTGAGTGACGTGTGATGGTAGTGAGTGACGTGTGATGGTAGTGAGTGACGTGTGATGGTAGTTGGGAGTGTGGTGGGACGTGTGATGGTAGTGAGTGACGTGTGATGGTAGTGAGTGACGTGTGATGGTAGTGAGTGACGTGTGATGGTAGTGAGTGACGTGTGATGGTAGTGAGCGACGTGTGATGGTAGTGAGCGACGTGTGATGGTAGTGAGTGACGTGTGATGGTAGTGAGTGACGTGTGATGGTAGTGAGTGACGTGATGGTAGTGAGGTGTGATGGTAGTGAGTGACGTGTGATGGCAGTGAGCGACGTGTGATGATAGTGACCGTAGTGAGTGACGTGTGAGTAGTTAAACTCTCGAAACTCTTCAAAGGTGTATCAAAGGTGCCATAACAACATACTGGAGTGAGAGATGTGTGAACGTGTGTTGGAGCGTGTGACGGTAGTGACCGTAGTGAGTGACGTGTGATGGCAGTGAGCGACGTGTGATGGTAATGAGTGACGTGTGATGGCAGTGAGCGACCTGTGATGGTAGTGAGTGACGTGTGATGGCAGTGAGCGACGTGTGATGGTAGTGAGTGACGTGCGATGGCAGTGAGCGACGTGTGATGGTAGTGAGTGACGTGCGATGGTAGTGAGTGACGTGCGATGGCAGTGAGCGACGTGTGATGGCAGTGAGCGACGTGTGATGGTAGTGACAGTACTGAGTGCCCTGTGTTCTCCCACAGACGTGCGGTTCACATCCAACCCTCCATCAATGGTAGCAGCGGCAGCTGTAGCGTCAGCTATCCAGGGCATCCTTCCAAGACACCAGAGTGACGAGGAGGAGATGTCAGCAGCGCGGCGGCGGCGGCGGCGGCAGCGTCAGCGCCCATCTCAGTAACTGCCAGAGGTGGACTGACAGCGGCACAGCAGTATATGCAGGAAGTCTATCACAGACTCCACGCTATCACGCAGATCGACACTGTGAGTCCAAACCTTAACTCTGTACCAGCATCTACAATCTCTCTCTCTCTCTCTCTCTCTCTCTCTCTCTCTCTCTCTCTCTCTCTCTCTCTCTCTCTCTCTCTCTCTCTCTCTCTCTCTCTCTCTCTCTCTCTCTCCTCGTTTGTGTACAGTGACAATCTCAAATTTTCCCATAAACATAAATAGCATATATTACCCTTAGTCTATAATTGGTCCTTGTACACTGTGTACTGTGCTCTGCACCAGTTCTTCTGAAACAAGGTTCAGGCACCTACCTGGAGGGTATTTCGGGATGGATATTTGGGGCAGCGGGCCTCCAGCAGCAACAGCCTGATTGACTAGGCTAGCACCAGATGAGCCTGCCCCATGGCCGGTGACCGGGAGTAGGAAGACTCTCGAAACTGAAAAAGCCACTGGCTGGCAAAACGTTAACACAGTAATAATAGCTAAGTGTTTCACAAGTGTCTTAACATCCTGTCGGTTCTCCGAATCATTTATCTACATATCCAAGTGCTGCAAAATGTGTCTTGGTCAACTTGTTGGTACTGTGTACAATCGATAAGACGACAGAAAGTGCAATGGGCAAGTGCAGTATTAGCAGCAGCAACACACAGCAATAAAATGGTTGCATATGTGTCTTACCTAACAACACACAGCAAGAGGCATTCTTGAGCTTCCCCAGCGCTTGGGCTTAGTGCCCAAAGCTGGGGTGTGACTCCAAAAGGATCCTGTAGTGCTTGCTGCCTTTGCACCTGACATTGTCTGCTGCTATGCAGCTGCCACACCCTTCGAGCCCAGTGTGGGCGGGGTTTGTGGCAGCCCAAGGTGCCTAGCTTCTCCTTCCGAGCCCCGTGTGGACAGGGAATGGGGCTAAGCCTGGGGACAGCTGGTCCCAGAAGACGAGGAGGTACTTGTACCTCCTCCCATGGCAGACATTGGTCTGAGATACTCCCTCGACAGGGAGCCAAGGCCGAGCCACCTCTTGGAAAAGGCCTGGGCCGGGTGATTATACCGGCGAATCTACAGCAGACCTGTACAACCGATAGGAGCAGTGTGCTATTACCATATCATAAACAGTACCACTGCGGGAACAACAGCCGAGTTAGCTATATTTCCCTCTCATGATCCATCACACAGGGTTGCTTGCATATTTTAATCAGTAATTATATTGCTAGCCTGAGCTGAAATACTTCAGAATGATACCGCCAAGCATTCCATTATGGGTTCAGTAACTGTAACAGCTTCAAGGAATTCTATCCGGCAGAGGTGGGATATTACTATTACGAGAGTTACTGGGAGCCGAATTTAAGCATCATCCTTAAATGTAAGTTGAACAGGTACGTGAGTGAGTGTGGGTGGGTGAGAGTTGGACTTGCCTAGCATGAGCCAGTAGGCCTACTGCAGTGTTCTTTCACTCTTGTGTTCTTGTGTGTGTGTTTTTTTTTTTTTAGGGAAGGAATGAAAGGATATCTGAGAGCGGAGGTCTTGGCTCCTTTACTGTTTCTTATCCTCATAGCGGGCACAAAAACACTCGCCACAGTTTCGTATCTTCATTTGCTGCCAAAACAAGCATAAAAATCACCTCATTAGAAGACACGGAAAATTGCAGGATATGAACAAAGTCTTTCAGTAGTCAGTGGAGAATGGTAGTAGTGACAAGTTCCAACTGTGACTTGTAAATGGTTCAGATCGGACCGAAACGTCGTCATAAGCTTTTTATTATCTCTCCTATATGCGGGTTATTTGTGTAAGTTCCAACTGCTTAGATATAGAAAGAATTAAGAACTCAGAGACAATGTGTACAAAACCCAAGAGAAAATCCATATAAAACGAAAGGAACATGTAAAGAACCTGGGAGTAATAATGTCACCTGATCGTTCGTTCAAAGAACACAATAAGTCAAATGTCACGGCGGCCAGGAAAATGATGGGGTGGATAAATGAGAACTTTCAAAACAAGGGAAGTAGTGTCAATGGTGATACCATTTAAATCTCTCGTACTCTTAGAGTATTGCACATTGTTTTCCAGTGGGCACTGAAGAGCAACATTACGTTCCAACTGCTTAGGTATGGAAAGAATGAACTCAAGGAACACTGTATACAAAACTCAAGTGGATCGTCAATTCGTCTTTCTTTCAGATTACACAACAAGACTAAGGTCACGACAGCCAGGAGAATGACGGGGGGAGGGGGGGTATTGAGAACCTTCAAATCTAGGAAAATAGTACCAGTGGTGACACTGCAAATCGCTAGTGCTCCCCCATTTGGAATATTGCTCAGTGCTGACGGCCCCTTTCAAGACAGGAGAAATATCAGAGCTTGAATAAATACAGAGATCGTTTACAGCTCGCATAGAGCCAGTAAAGCATTTAAATTACTGGGAACGTCTTAAAGCCTTGAATATGTACTCACTGGAGCGGAGGAGAGAGAGATACATGATAATATATATCTGGAAGGTACTCGAGGGCCTTGTTCTAAATCTGCACACTGCCATAACAGTATACTGGAGCGAGAGATATGGGGAAAGTGTAAGATAAACCCAGTGAAGAGCAGGGGTGCGACGAGCACAGTAAGGAAACACTGTATCAACATTAGTGGCCCTGGATTATTCAGCATCTTACCAGAATATATCAGAAACAATGCTGGAACAAGTGTCGACGTCTTCAAGAGAAAACTGGACAAGTTTTCTCGTCAGAGGTGCCAGATGAACCAGGCTGTGATGGATATGTGGGGCGGTGGGCCTCCAGCAGCAACAGCCTGATTGACCAGGCTAGCACCAGACGAGCCTGGTCCATGGCCGGGCTCTGGGAGTAGAAAGACTGTCGAAACTCATCAGTTATATCCAAGGACATGTGCGTTGAGATACAGATGTCATTTACGGCCTGCATAGAGCCAGTAAAACATTTAAATTACTGGGAATGCCTCAAAAATTCTAAGTTGTAAATATATATTCGCTGGAATGGACATAGATACATAATTATATAATGAAAACGGTATAAAATGTTGACGATTAAGACACATATGCAACAGTTAGGTATCTTTATTATTGAAACATTTCGCCTACACAGTAGTCTTCTTCAGTTGCGTACAGAAGCCTACTGTGTAGGCGGAATGCACATGTGTCTTAATGATTATATGTACGTAGAAGGTACTTGAGGGTTTAGTTCCAAATCTGCACACTGCCGAGCCTGGCCCATGACCGGGCTCTGAGAATAGTTAAACTCTCGAAACTCTTCAAAGGTGTATCAAAGGTGCCATAACAACATACTGGAGTGAGAGATGTGTGAACGTGTGTAGGAATAAACCCGTGAAAAGCAGAGTCGCTGTGATATCAACAAGATGTTAGAAATATTCAAGAGGAAACTCGTCAGTGTTGGATCAACCAGGCTGTGATGGATATGTGGGCCAGCGGGCCCCCAGCAGCGACAGTTTGGTTGACTCAGCAAGCACTCAGGTCACGTGCGTCACATCTCACTCTCCGCCTATATATATAATGTCTTTCTACCTCTGTATGTTAGAAGTGATCAAGGTCCCAGGACCGAAACGTTTTCTAATAAATATGTTATAGTGTTTGCTTACGTGTCTTTCTAAACCAGAAGGAAAACTCTTGAAACTCGTCAGAGGTGTTCCAAAGGTATAAAGTTGTATCACAAAGGAGAGGGAGTTGAATGAGAGAGGAAACTACGGGTCTTAGTGTTGTGTGGATGATGGATAACCAGGGACTGACGTAGTGTGGGTGGGCGTGTCAGGGCTAGGGACTGGCGTAGTGTGGGTGGGCGTGTGAGGGCTAGGGACTGGCGTAGCGTGGGTGGGCGTGTGAGGGCTAGGGACTGGCGTAGTGTGGGTGGGCGTGTGAGGGCTAGGGACTGGCGTAGTGTGGATGGGCGTGTGAGGGCTAGGGACTGGCGTAGTGTGGGTGGGCGTGTGAGGGCTAGGGACTGGCGTAGTGTGGGTGGGCGTGTGAGGGCTAGGGACTGGCGTAGTGTGGGTGGGCGTGTGAGGGCTAGGGACTGACGTAGTGTGGGTGGGCGTGTGAGGGCTAGGGACTGACGTAGTGTGGGTGGGCGTGTCAGGGCTAGGGACTGGCGTAGTGTGGGTGGGCGTGTCAGGGCTAGGGACTGGCGTAGTGTGGATGGGCGTGTCAGGGCTAGGGACTGGCGTAGTGTGGGTGGGCGTGTGAGGGCTAGGGACTGGCGTAGTGTGGGTGGACGTGTGAGGGCTAGGGACTGGCGTAGTGTGGGTGGGCGTGTGAGGGCTAGGGACTGGCGTAGTGTGGGTGGGCGTGTGAGGGCTAGGGACTGGCGTAGTGTGGGTGGGCGTGTGAGGGCTAGGGACTGGCGTAGTGTGGGTGGGCGTGTGAGGGCTAGGGACTGGCGTAGTGTGGGTGGGCGTGTGAGGGCTAGGGACTGGCTTAGTGTGGGTGGGCGTGTGAGGGCTAGGGACTGGCGTAGTGTGGGTGGGCGTGTGAGGGCTAGGGACTGGCGTAGTGTGGGTGGGCGTGTGAGGGCTAGGGACTGGCGTAGTGGGGTGGGCGTGTGAGGGCTAGGGACTGGCGTAGCGTGGTGGGCATGTCAGGGCTAGGGACTGGCGTAGTGTGGGTGGGCGTGTGAGGGCTAGGGACTGGCGTAGTGTGGGTGGGCGTGTGAGGGCTATGGACTGGCTTAGTGTGGGTGGGCGTGCGAGGGCTAGGGACTGGTGTAGTGTGGGTGGGCGTGTGAGGGCTATGGACTGGCTTAGTGTGGGTGGGCGTGCGAGGGCTAGGGACTGGCGTAGTGTGGGTGGGCGTGTGAGGGCTATGGACTGGCTTAGTGTGGGTAGGCGTGTCAGGGCTAGGGACTGGTGTACTGTGGGTGGGCGTGTGAGGGTTAGGGACTGGCGTAGTGTGGGTGGGCGTGGGGGTCAAGGTTTAGGTCAAGTGGGGATATGAGTCAGCCTGGGTGGGAGGGAGTGCTGGTACTCCACGGGTGGTAGGGATGTAGTCATCTCTTGGCCTCACGATGT